AATTCTTCATACTAATTGTATGAAATATAAATAGAATAAACAAATCGCGATGTTGATATATTTTAAATTAAATCATTAACATAACAATTATTGCATTATTGGATAATAGATTCTTTAAAGTTGTATGTTAAATAGTATGCAATTATTTATATCTATAAACGAATGTCGTGCCAAATTTGTTTAAACTGCGATAAAAAGTTAAATTGTAATTTGAATAATTTATTATTTATAGATAGTATAAACTACAACGTGGTATCTGTGAAATTGTTCCTATTATTTGTGTACTTGTACTACCATACACAATTATTTGATAAATAGCTGACATTAACTTTGTTGTAAAAAATGCATATTTTTAAGAAAAGCATTAAAATAACGTTCAAAATATAATTTTTGCTTGACTAGTATAACAAAAACACGCAAATACTCGAAGTACAAAATAACCTTCTATCTATATTATATTAAAATATTATATCTATAGTATTATGTATTTCGTTATCTAGTTATCAAATAAATAAATAAAACACTTTAAAATAAATCTAATCAAAAGAAGAGAGAGGACGATAGTTACTAATACCTATTATCAGTTTACCCACACATTCTATGTTTAATCTATAATTCATCTATAAGTGCTTCCGTTTTCATAGTTTTCTTCAGTACTTTTCAAATTTACATAATTGTTTTCAAAAAAAAAAAAAGACATTGAAGTCGATCTGATGTAAAGGTATTCTAGATTTTGAGTGTACATCGCATTTGACAATAGATCATGAAAGTTAAAGGGTCAAATTTGAATTCAATAATAAATTACATACGATAAATGATATACGCAATCACGTCTGCAGGACAGTGGAGGTTTTTAGGGGGTGAAGGGGGCTCACCCCCACCCTTGGTTTTTTTTGCATGTCCCTTTTTTAATTGAAATTACACTAAATGCTTGAATTGTTTTAACTATGGTGGGGAGGCCCAAAAATTGAAAATAGCCCCCCCTTGATGTTTTATCAAAACCGCCACTGCTGCAGGATAAAATCCTGCTCGGGCAACTATTTGATACTATATACGATATCTTATTAACAAAATTGAAAAATTATTATTATTTATACCTATTTGTTTATTAACAATTGAAATATTTTACCTACATGAGTATATTATATTATTTCTTTAATGTGTTCAAAATCAAAATTCATTAAATTTTTAAATTTTATACCTAAGACATGGACATTTTCACAATTACGTGTATTATTGTGTTCTACAGTGGCGTAGACATGATTTCTGAAAGGGGAGGATCAAAAAAGAAAACGACATACCGCTAAATGGGAGGGAAAAATTTGAGAATCCTCCTCCCTCTCAAAACGTTTTACTAGGGTAATAAAAAGCCAGTTGGGGGGGGGGTCTGACCCCCCACACCACCATGTCTACGCCACTGGTGTTCTATATAACATAATAATGGAATTATCAAAATTATTTTTACTAGTTTTAAGCTAATCACATGCCATGCAAACTTATTCATAGTTCACATCATTCTCTTTGTACGTGATATTGAATTACTACTTTACAAGTTATATGCGATCGATACGCAAATACCCCGAAATATAACGATTAATATTGATTTTGTGAACCAAAGAACAACGAAAGAGTTTTGGCGCCTGTCGTGCAAATGCATACTAAATAAAATATTGGTCTAAGGGGGGTAAGGGTTGGAAACACGTGTATCTACATAATAAATACAATCTTATTAATGATTTATTATAACAATAAAAAAGTTTCAAAAATTACTAAGAGAAATGTGTATCCATTATTATAAAATACTTAGTACCTAATACTAGCTAGTTATTATAATAATGATGAATTAATTTGTAAATAAAAACTAGGTACTAATAACGATTTTCTTTTGAAATTTTTTTTTTTTATTTCTAATAAACATAATTTTACTAAACAAATATTTATATTCGTGGAAAGTTAAATAAACCCAAAAATGTATAATGTTTATATTATAATATAGTGTCCTTTTAACTATGTAATAATTAATAATAAACAAATATTATTTATATTAAATTTATATTCATTAAATTTGTTTGAAAAAGAAAATTGTTATGAAATACTAATAATATAGTTTTTTCATATTACCTATAATATTCAATGCATTTTGACATTGTTACTTTATTTTGGTTCTTTTTAAAGCTGTTTAAATATAGTAAAATACTAGGTAGTAGGTAGGTATATTTCAAGCGATATGAATATATTATTCAGTATAACATAATTATGGAATTTAATTATGATTTATGAGCTTTAGAACTCACAGTAATTAGTACATTTAATGTTTGTATATACAAAATGTTTAACGTTATTAAAGTACAACATTTATTGTAATTTAAATTTAAAAAAGGTGGGTAAGTGGATGTCGCTCTGCTGTACAGTAGTGGGTCACTGTATAATGGATGCTATTAAATTTGAATTCAATGATATAATATCATTGTATAAGAAAAACGATTCTGAGCGAAGACGGTATGTCAGTCTAGGTTTAAGATAAATTATATACAAATCTATGGTATTAAAAAAAAATTGACCTATAATAAATTCCAAATTAATCATATCACATTATCACAATATCCATTAGGTACTTATAACACGTTATACATCAACATCAATAACAAACCCTGATACTATCATCGATATATAATAATACACTTTAGAAGTTTCAAGTAGGTACCCCGTACCCACGAATAATATTATATAATCACAACAAAATAACTAGGTTTTTTAATATGAAATTTCGTCCAAATTTTAACATAAAATGACTATAAAAATAAACTGTGATTGTATATTTTTTAGATTTTTCGGTAAGAGAATTAACTACTTACATAGAATCTTGTTTTAAATTTTCAATCCTTAGCTATAAAAACTGAACATTTTATAATTTATTAATTACGATGATTAATAATTTCCGAGATTTTGAAAAATTCTGTCAAAATTCGATGTAAAAATGCTTATAAAAAAAAATTGTGCCTATGTATTTTTAATATTTTTCAACTGAAATTGTAACAATATATCAGGAGCCTTGTATTAAATTTTTACACTTTTTGGCCCAACAGATAAAACTTAATTGATATTTATAGAAAAAAAAAACTAAAAAATTGAAAACTGAAATTGTCCGTAAACGGCTCAAAAAGAGTCAAAATATTTTCAAAATTGTATGGTGTATAGGAAATGCTAATATAAACATTCAGTGAAATTTTCATGTATCTACAGTAATTCGTTTTTTAATTACAACAAAATAAGGAAATCGCCACATGAGAAATCGAGTGAATATCCAATGTTGTAAAAATTTGAATTTCAAACACTCATAAAAATTTAACTTGACTGTCCGGTAGAGATTTTTTTATTGATAAAGGTAGATAATCTTATAAGGAATTTTGTGTTTCATTTTCAAATCTTAGATTTAAAAAGAAAAATTTTTACGAATTCTTAACTCAAAATAATTTGCTAATTTTCGTGATTTTTCCATATTTTGTCAATTTTTGAACTTTAAATGCTTATAAAAAAAATTGTGACTAAGGATTTTTAATATTTTTCATCTGCCTTTGAAACAACATATTAGGAGCCTTCTATTAAATTTTCAAGCTTTCGCAACCAACAAATAAAATTTTATTGATATTTCTAGAAAAAAAACTAAAAAAAATGAAAAATGAAAATGTCCCTAAACAGTTCCAAATAAATCAAAATATTTTGAAAATGTTATCGTGTATAGAAAATGCAAATATAAACAACCAGTGAAAATTTCATGTATCTACGGTCATTTGTTTTAAAGTTACACCAAAAACCAAATTCGATTTTTTGGAAAATCGATTTTGCGTAAAAATTCCCGTTTTTCCTTAATTTTTATGTTGTTTTTCCCGGCGCTTGTGAAAACTACTGGAAAATGTTTACTTTTGACCCCCCCAAAGTACCAACTAGATTCACTTTCCTATCAGAAAAGGTACTATTGAAGAAAATCGAAGCACTTTAACTGTCCCAAAACGTGATGACAGACACAAAAATATAAAAATATAAAAATATAAAAAAAAACATACATCATTGTAAAACCAATACATTCATCGCTCCGCTCAGAATCTAAAATGTATTTCATTACAATTATTATAGATATAGACAAAAATAAAAATATATTTGGAAATAAGTTCAAATTACGAAAATAAGTAATCTACTGTTGTTAATGCATAGACTTTTACCAATTTCAATTCGTATAATAAAATATCTTTATGAAATAAAATATTTGTTGAAGTTCTAGAATATCAAAAAATAAAATGTATAAAACCTAATTATAAATTATCTACAATGACTTACCAAAATATTTTAAAAAATGAAGAATCCCTAAATGTTTTCAATTATTTTAAAAACGAGCAAGTTATAATTTATATCCCCTCAATCTTGGTTTTTAAATAATTTTAAAGATATATAGCTGATATTAATATACTTGTAATTTGCTATACGCTGCACTATTTTGATGAACAAAAATGCTTTTACAGGGAAAACGCTCACGCCTCGTTGATATGTCGGATTTTGGTCATTTTTTTTTTATTTGAAAGATGAGAAGTTTTTGCAGGTTGGACCTAAGCTCGAATTTTTACTGCACTTTAAATTGTAGTAGAAAAATACGTATGAAAAATAACGAATGTTGTGCATTATTCAAATGCATATTCCAGCTTCTATAATTATAATTTTCAAAATCGGGCTTTTATCCGACCTACTGGTCAAAATGTTCTCTGCTTTTAAATAAAAAAAAATTAACGAAATCCGACTTCTCTACAGCTTATTGGAGTTTTCCCTGTAAGACATGTTTTTGTACCAAAAAACACACCGGCTCCGACCCCTTTAAAGTATTCTCATTATTTATTTTTCACTTTCAGTGTGTTTATATTGTTTACGAATATCCGTTTTATTTAATGCATTTATATTTATGTTTTTTCAGGCTGATATTTCCAACAGTACATCTATAAACATTTTGGAAAATGAACAACCAAGAAAGGATATTACCTGAAGCTAACATACGATCGTGTATCGTAGTGTTAGCCAGTTTCTTGGTCAATGGTCTTGTTTTTAGTTTTATCAATTCCTATTCAGTGACTTATGTATATCTATTGAAAAGACTAGAGGATGCTGGTGTCAGTGAAGCATCGTCAAAAGCATGTAAGTAATTTATTTTATTCACAACCCATATGGACTACATTACATTCCAAGTTCAAACATTGTTAAATTCTCTATTATAACAGTAGTTACCCATTCTTCTTTTCAAACGAAATACAATGCTATTATAATACATTATTGTACTCACATTAGTCTAACGTCTTCTTACTACACAATTTAGTTTTATAAACGATTTGTGTGAAAAGGTTATTTGTCAATTCAAAAAATACTAGTATTAAACCGTATAAAAAGTTATAGACGCGTGTTTAACCAGCAGATTAAATATTAACTAATGTGAACATAATATTTTATTTACATTTTCTTTCATCACTACATAACTTGATAATTCAATGACAAAATAATTATTCTAATATTCTTATTAATTGTTATTGATTCTTTCCGTATTTATTATATCACTTAATAAATAAATAAAGGTCAGGTCCTCTTTTGCTTAAAAGCCACTCTTTGTAAAATCAAGTCAGTATTGATTACTTATTTAGAAAATGGTCACTATTATTAGTTATTTCAAACTATTATGCAAATTTAAGGGAGCCGTGCTAAAACCAAACAATTTTATTTTTCAAAACTTTTCGGGAAACAAAAAATAAATAATATTTTCTGATACATCTATATAAACAATAGCTGAGATTTTCGTAAAAATCAACCGAGTAGTTTTTGAATATATAAGCTACTAAACATAATTTTTTTCTTAAAACATCTAATTTCTTTAATCGAGGCCACTGTAACCGCGACGATTTGATGCATGATTTTACCTCATATTATACCCGAGTAACCAATGGCAACCATTTATATCAAAAATCATAAAACGAAACATCTTACCAAATGTCATACTTAAGCTTCGGCGGTTATGCTAGGCGATGATAAATCTGTCAGTCAGGACAAGTTATTTTATATATATATATAATATTATATATTATAATTTATAATTTAAGGGTGGTTTTTTACATTTTTTTTATGAAGGTGTACTAAGCATATATTTTTCCTTCGAGAATCGACTAACGTAAAAATATATTTTTGTATTTTTAAGTTTTTATCACCAACATTAATAATAAACATCCTTGTATAAATAGTAAAAATAAAGTGTAAACTTTTCTAAAAATGAGTTCTTCTTATTAATTTTCTAAATTATTTAAAAATCAATTAACATTACTGTGGGTGTTGAATCGTGTCATTGCATATCGTTGGTCAGTTAATTATAATCCGGAGAATAGCTTAGATCATATTATTATACTATGGATCTACAGCGTATTAAATCAATACAACAAAATTTGCCGATATCAGCGAAGACTTACCGAATTAGGTGTTCCGATATGCGCTTGCGCGACGCAACTTCGTGCATATTTATCCTCAGATATAATTTGTTATCATTCACCATATTATGTTTTAAATATAATATTATATTGAAGTTCTAACAAATAGGGAGATCTAATTTGAAATCGTCCGAGATCGACACGTCCTTTTTCGTCCAAAATAAAATTTTAATAATAGTTAATATTATATCGATGGCGTAGCGCACAAGTGTGATAAGTGACATTTTCGTAATTGTTCAGGAGAACGATTTTAAGTTTGAGATGTCATAACAAATTCAAAAATGTAACGAACTGTAACGACGTCTATCGAGTAATAATGAACTATTCACTTACAACGTTTGGGCATAATGTGCAGAATTGTATGATTAAATTGATTATGCACTTAACTCATTTTTCAAAAAATGTCACTTATCACACTTGTGCGCTACGCCATCGATATATAGGTGTTTAGGTATTTCGTATTTATGTTATACTTATAGAAAATCATGAAATATATATTATACCTAAGTTGTATAAAAAACATATAAAAAAATATTAATAATTCTAATATTATAAAATTGTTTTCAATAATTATTAAGTATAATAGAAATATGTATAACACTTATTAATAAGCTTATTTCAATGATTTTAAGTGCTATAAGTCCCGAGCCCTGGTAATAGGTAATCATAGTATTGTGAAAGAATATTTTAAAAAGTCGCGTGTTCTGGACAATTTTTATGATAACATATTTACATTTAATCACTATTTATCAGTTATTTTAGCTTTAATCCACATCTAGCTCTTAAACAAATATGATTAGCTTTTAGTAGATATTGTATTATTATTTACATTATTGCGTTATTAGGTAACAAACAAAACTTCTGTATAATTAACCTAGGTACTTCAATTGTACAATTTAATATCAAATTTATCGATCTCTCCATCACTTATACATAAAATACATCACTTAAATCTTATTATTGTTGATATTATTGTCACCTATTAGGTATATTAAGTATATCAAGTTTAAAAATGTTCTTGAAGTATACTTAACTTACATTACCTCAGATTATATAATATGCTTTATAATTATATAAATAATGTATCCTTCATAAAATATGTTTATTGCTTATATATTGTGTTCCTTATAGGTATACATTTTATACATCTTGTAATAAAAATATATAATATAATATGATCCTCATAACCTCATACCTCACAATTAATAACTCGATAATCAAAAAAATATTGGTTTCTTCAGTTGTAAACCATTGTATGTTTAAACAGCTACATTTACTAATGTACTCATTCAACACATTTTAAATTGGGTTTGATTTACAATATTTTTTTTGATTTTAGCATTGGTTGGCTCTTTGACAGTGGGAACAACATTTCTAATGTCACCCATCGCTGGAGTTCTCGTTGATCGTATAGGAATTAGGACAACTACATTTATAGGTGGTTTTATTGCTACTAATAGTTTATTAATATCATCATATTTCACACACCAAGTAAGTTATAATATAATTTTATTCTACTTAAAGTGTCTCAAATTCAAAGAATAATCTATTTAAAATCGATTTAATCTTTTTTTATAATTTTATTATAACAGCATACAGCATATTGTACATTAACATTTTACAAATAGCTGTACCCCTATAAATATTATAGCTAAATATGTATTAAACTAAATGATTATTGTATGTGAATCAAGAACATAAACCAACGTCACGTTTCACGAGACACACATAACTGCATAAGTGTATCGTGTATGACATAGCGATCTGTTCGTAAAATAAAGAATAACATAATATAACACTATGCTGCACCCATTTTCTCACTGATTTTTACATTTTGAGAGCATTATTTTTAAACCTTTCTGACAACTAACCATTTACAATTTTAAGGAATCAGCAACGTAGTAACGTAGGTATACCTAATACCTATATGTACTACATGTTGAAAGTGATTCTTTAAAAGGTTTTTAATGTTTAAGCCTTTCAATTTATGGTCATTTAGAATTTCGTTATTTTAAGTAACATTAAATGTCAATACTTTAAGAATGAAAAATAAAATATATGTATATAAACATTATACATTTAATCGAAACTAAACCAAAAATAAATAAACTGTTTTCTGCGTGTTTGCATACATTTTATTTTAAAGAATATTTTAGGTTTCCTATGTTTTTTATTACTTGTGAATTTCGTTGGCATTGTTAACAATACCAATAAATGATTTTTTATTTTAAACTTCTATTGTTACTAAAAATATTGTATTAAAAATTAAAATCTATTTTGCTTTTATGTTATAACTCAAATATGAATAACTGTATAGACTTGAAATTTTCACGGAATTAAATTTACCTACCCTAACCTAGTATTTACTAGACATGAAATAATTTTGGAAATATGTTGTCTCTTTATAACCATATAGGTATTTTAAATTTTTTACTTTTTTTATTTGATTTATTGGTACAATTTTTTGTTTAAAAAAGCTTAAACATTTAATAGGTACATGATTCCTTATAAGTTATAACTTGTCCATACGTCAATTATAAAATATCACTACTGTCATTACTTACAACTATTATACAGTAGGTCAGTACCTACATAATGTACCTTATTTTCAAGTTTTTCATATATTGTACATTATTTCTATTGTACCTATATACGTTGTTATTTTAATCACTTTTATAGACAGTCCACATATAGTACGAAACATTTTGACAGTACAATTCAGTAACTGTCTATTAAGAATACATAAGTACCAACTACCTATACCTATTAAAATATCATAATTTATAAATTTAAGCTCGGAACTTAATGCACTTAAAAAGTATTAAATATGCATGCACTTATATGCGCTTATAATAGTAAGCAAAATATGTTGTTTTTTTTACCCACAATTTTCATAAATACAATTTTCAACTAGGATTTTAAAAACACGATACCAAGGAAAACAAAGTATTTATTTTTTTACTGTCGAATTTTTAAATTATATTGTAAACATATCATTAATCATAAAAAATGAGAAATATGCTCTTATAAAACTATAAAAAAACCACTAAATATACAAAAATAGGCACTATATACTTTTTTTGTAGTTTCGCGAAATTAATTTCAAGCTTACTTAGCAATAAATCTAATAGTCCAAAATAAACATGCAAATGCAACAACTTCCGAGCTCAATATTATAAATAATATTTGATATTTACGATATTTCCGATTCCAAAACAATATATATTTTTAATCCGTGGGGTTTTATACAAAGAAATAAAACTAACTTACACGTTAACCGCCACCGCTCGCCGGCGGCCTCAAGAATATGTATTATGCGTACGCCAAGCAAATTTTTCAGTGTCATTACAAATTTGTATGTATATATTATTGAATTAGAAAAAAATATGTAAAAAATATGTTTCTTACATCAGAAAAATTGTAATTATTTCCTCTTTTTTAGTTAATTATTGTAGCGCCATGGAAAAGTTACAATTTAAAACTATATTCATTTACGGCCAGCGGTCATGTGGTGTGGTAGTAATGACCAACTGTGGTCGCCGGCGGTCCCAAAACCATAAAATTTGAAATTTACGAATGACCGCCGGCGACCGCGAGACAATAAAATTAATTAACTCATAGCTTACTCAATAACATGGAAACAAATTAACCTCATGAATTTAGAAGCTACTTAAAAAAAAAGTAACTTGGTTAAATATATAACTTAACTTTTTAACTCTTAATGCCAGCCTTGCCTATATGGTTATATTATGTAATTTTGATCAAATTTCGTCAAAACATTATCTTTTTTTTTACTAAAAACAACAGCAATAAAGGTACACTGTTTTTAGTGTTTAAACCTTTGATATTGAATAAATAGAATTTGTATTCTCTTTCTATTAATTTCTATTATTATTATTGAAACTTTAATAACATAATACATATTTTTAAGCTTAAAGTGTCAGATTTTTCTGTATACTTATATAAATTAATTTTGTTTTTTGACATAATTTTAATGTTTTAGGTGGAAGTATTATACGTAACTTACGGCCTATTATATGGTATTGGCGCATCATTAGCTTATACGCCTTCATTGGCTATTCTTGGTCATTACTTCAAAAAATACCTTGGTCTGGTAAACGGTATAGTTACTGCTGGAAGCTCATGTTTCACTATGTTCATGCCATACATCGTAGATCATTTACTTGTTAAATTTGGTCTAGACAACTGTTTAAGGTTAGTTTAAAGTAACCTAAACAATATCTTATTATACCTAAGTTGTTTTACTTTTTTGGATATAAGCATTTATTATGTGTAAGTTAAATTTAAATTTATCATTTATTAAATATTTTGTGCAGTAAAAACGCAGTTTTCTTCAAAAAATACAATTTTATTATCAAAAGTCCAACGCCCCTATACCGATAACCGATTTCACTGATCTTGTCACGAACACCTTGATAGTGTCATGTATGCAATCGGTTAGGTATTATTAATTTGGCCGGAGTGTCACATACACGATAGTCGGGTAATCAGGTGTTATAATAGTTTATAGGCATAGGAAATCCGTAGATATAAATAAATGATTAATTACTTGATATGACGCTTAGATTTTGTTCAGTATTTGAGGTGTATTTTTGTTGATGGTGCTATTTTATTTCATTTCTCGATAACAAGAATACTGGGCCCCACTGAGACTCTCGTGTGGGGACTGTTGTTTTCTTATTTTTTGTAGTTTCAACGAGTTTTAAGTTGTTGGCCGTACTTATTTTGCACAAAAGTTCTGGATGTGGTTCAATGGTTATTTTAATATTTTCAATAGATAACGAGTTGACGTTTTTGATTGTAGATTCAATAAAAATGAATGGTGATAGGTATTTGCGTTTTTTAATTTAAAGATTTTCGTCACTCATCAACTTGCAGATGAGTGAAATGATTTTCTTGTTGAATACTTGCGTTTATCGTGATCTCGTCTTGGAGATTTTACGTCGTTCAATTCGATTTCGGATATAATTCCAACGTCGTCGTGATTATCTGGTTGCGTTTTTATAGTTAGATTTAATAACGGATTGTTTATTAATTATTTTATTCGGTGATACCGGTACGTGATTATTATTATTACCACTCATAACGAAGAAGTAGATTGCACGTGTGCCTTATCTAGGCCCGAAGGTCAGAGATAGCGAGGAGTTGCAGTATTGCTTAACGAGTTTAATTGCAGTTATGATATAAATTTAATTTTTGTATCCTAGGGACATATATACCTATGTCCCTTTAAGACATTCTTATTTTTAAAATCAGCAGCTAAAAAATAGTTGTATTGATACAAAACTCGAAAAAAAGACAGAGAATTGTTGACACTTTTGATTATAACTTAACGGAGAGTAAATTATCGGCTATGCACATGGCCAACGACAAGCGGACTCGTTCAGTGTCTACTTACAATTTTGGGTTGTCAATATTAATACTAGAGTGAATTGACCTACATATTATCACACTTAAAGTGTATTACACACACTAGGCTATTCGAACGCTTGACACTTACACATTAAGAACTTTCGGTATTTGTTGATATTTTAATTTTAAAGTGATAATAATATATCACAATTATTTAAAAAATTATCACAGGTATCTTATATTAAAAATAAATATCGAAAAAAAATAGAAAAATAAACAAATTCACATATTAAATCTTAAATCAACAACACCAAATTGGAATAGCCTGAAGAAAAAAAACGACATATTTAGTCGGTTGCAATTTTGGGTTTTTTTTTCACTTTGGAAAATACTAGGTATAGGTTCATTTAATCCACTTGGTTAACGGTGGTGTGCCAATAAAATGTTAGTGATCCGCAGAAAAATCTGGAAATTATTTGCATTTTTATTAGTCGATGTCGAAAATGTTATTAATGAACAAATATTAAAAATGTATACTACGTACGCGGATGTATTAAAGGGCGATTGTCATTGGTACATAAACACGCAACTATGCAATCATCATCACCACCAAGTGTTATAATATACTAATTATTAGTTATTACTTATATACCAATAATGTGATCAGCGCTATACATATAAATACAATCTTCCTAAAAAAGTAATATTTGAGTGGTCGGCATATCCCCGGAATTAAAAGTGAGTTATCTATTGTATTGTTTGATCAAGCATTGTATAAACCTACATGGCTACATTTAACTTGTTTACATCACTAATAAACATATTTTTGCCAATTATGAAGGGTCACCTATTATTAGGTCACATGAAAATGTATGTTTTTAGAATAGTTACATGTTATGGGCTAAAACTATTTAAAACTGAAATACAATTCTACTTTTACGTTATAAATGCAAAGCCTTGATTAACACTTTTTTATCTGCCAATATATACCTATACAGACTTTATAGGCAGTGTCCGTGCGGTGGAGGGATACCTCCCCCCCCCCACCAAACATTTTGGAAGTGGTCATTTTTTCTGAAAGTCTCTTGTTGGTCAGCTAAATTCACCCAATTCTATATTAAACTCGATCAGTACTTTTGAAATCAGATTTTTTTCGTTTATTTTGTTGGCTACATAATGAATTTACTGGTTAAAATGTTAAATTATTTAAAAAAATGTATACATGTATAATACCTGTATAAGTACCTATTTAATAAATATATTAGTACCTATAATTGCTTAATAGTAAATACATAATTAACATGTCAATGGTTAGAAATTGTATTTTTAAATAATAATAGTAATAATTTAAGAATAAGAAAGGTATTTTATTCAAAAACCTATGGGAAGTTTTAAAATTATAAAAGTTATGGTTAATAATTTATGAAAATCAATCCAAAATTTAATTATGAACGAGTAATTAATAAGCTATAGCTGTATGACTTATAAGTATTTAAAATTTAGATGAGTGGTATATATAGTGGACCACTGGACCGTCATAAAATTATGTTCGAATATAAAACTGCTAAAAAAAATATTCTGCTTCGAAATATGAAATTAAAAAATATGTTGTCGTTCAAAAAAGTAAGAATTAAAAAAATTCCAATTTAACTCATTTATTGTCGAAAATATACCTATTTAAAATGTTTAATAATTTTCGAAATAATGAGTGTTAACTGTTAAAACTTTAAAAGGATCACCCTATTTAATTGTTATTAGGTATATGTTTACATATTAATTATCGTAACTTTGGATATAATTTCAATTTTAAACATTTATCAAATATTTATTTGTGTCTTAAAAAACTTACTGTAGTGAATTTGTTTTTTATCAGTAATTATACAATGTCTAAAAAATGTATTTGGTGCTCATATTTTGTGCTTAAAAAATATATTTCAAATTACCATTAAAAACCATAGATAGGTACTAGATAACCATCTAATATGTTAATGTTAAAAACTATTACCTAATCGTATTATTTGTACAGAATTTTCCTTGGATTTAAATTGTAAATTGATGCGTATATTTTATGCATACAACATGCAATACAGAAACGTTTATTTATAAATAAATAAGTTTGATAATAGTTTAAAAAGCGCTTAGCTTTTATATAAGTGTACTATATTTGTTTTTCTGGAATAATCCGTAACCTTTTTTTATTTTTATTTTAAATCAGGCCACTGCACCGTAGTGTAGCGGTCAATTACACTGAATTCTATGATATAATACATTTTTTTGTATCGATAAAATAATTCGAACGAGACCATTGATAGTCAAGTTCATTTTCAATAATTAGATGCATTTAATAAATTATATAACATTCGCAAATCATTTAGCTAGAATAGTGATTAAAGTTATCCGTTATCTTTAATGTTCGATCTTTCAAAGTATTTTATCTATTTATATTAATTGATGCCTATTGCCTACAGTTTGTAGAAATGCAGAATAATAATTAAACTTTGGTTCTATGAACTGTATTACTCGTATTAGTACATCATATTATAACTAATGGAAACATAATATATCATTTGTTTTATTTCATAAGAACTATACTCTCGCCTACGCTATAATTTTAACAGTTGATAGCTCCTTCCTCCTAGCGTATAATATAATAATATTATCTTTTATGGATCATATTAACAGTGGCGGATCTAGGCTTAATTTCGGGGGGGTCAAAAGTACAAAAAGTTCTAAAATTGGCTAAACACAGTGTAAAACAAAGAAAAACTACGGCGATTAGGGGAGGGGGAATACCCTCTTTGCCCTCCCCCTGGATCCGACACTGCATATTAATACATAAAGAAAAATATTATAGTTTATTATTATTAAAATTACTTGAGGAAACCGAATCGCTTTTCATATACGATATACATGTTCTTTTTCAATACCTATAGGTAGGTATATAAGTTTATAACGAAATGTTTAACCACGGAAAATGTAAGTACGGTTTGTACGTTATGTTACACTTAGGTTTAGCTCTAGAAAGAAAAATTTTATTTACATAAATGCTTTCTAAAATATCCATATTAAGTAGGTATGTTATTAGTTGAAAGTATAAAAAATTGTAATATTATAAATCGTACACTGCAGAACAGAATATTATGACAAATGATAGGTACCTCTCTCATGGTCTCATCACTTTTATATAATCAGAAGAATAGCTATAGTAAATATCAAGTCATATACTTATATCGAACAAATTTCTAATAATAGATTGTTATGCCATAAGTCATAAGTTATGACTTTATTAACTTACCGATACCCATAGACTAGTAATCCAACAGTTCAGAACATAAGGTAGGTAGGTAATGACACAGCTCAGAAAGGTAACATGATGGGGGGATACTATGTACCTAGTACTATGTTTAATAATATTGCCTGTTTATAGTCAATTTTAATTTTCTATCATATTCTTAAACAAAATATACGAGCTACATATTCCTATATTTCAAATAGATGGATTTTATAATAGTCAAATGTATCGTTATGTATTTTGATTGCTATGTGTATGTTATTTAGTGTAAAATATAACTATTTATCTACATACCTATGTAGATAAGTATTATATATATTATAAAATATGCTATAATTATATAATTTAATTAGGAAGGTATATGTATCAAATTCAAGTAGGTACTCGTAATCGTAATTAATTCTTGCTTTTATATTTGTTTATATTTTGATGATGTATTTCAACGATTTTTCATTTATCAACACATGTTTGTAAACGATAATCTTTATTATAGATGGGAAGCAGCTATGTCAGCCTTGCTAATGGTATGCGCTTTGGCGTTCAAGCCTACAATCAAATTGGACAAATCGGATATGCATAAATCGTTGTCTGAAGAACTGCGATCATTGGTCAATATTGACATTTGGAAGAACCCTAAATATGTTATTTGGGCCACAATGATTCCTCTCGCTCTCTTCGGATATTTTGTCCCTTACGTCCATTTGGTAAGACATTCATTTTTTTTTTCAGCCAATTCCAGTATTGTATGGTGTTTATTTTTTAATTTTTATTAATGATGTGGTTATACAGGTGAAATTTGTTGATGACCGTTTTCCACAAAACGATGGTAAAATATTAGTCACGTGTATTGGCATTTCCTCGGGAATCGGTAGATTAATTTCAGGACCAATATCTGATTACAAAGGAGTTAATAGAATCGTAATGCAACAGGTACCAATATTGAATTATTAATTTAAATAAAGTATCCCTGATTGTATTAATATTGTCAAATGAATAACATTTTTACTGATAAATTTGTTGAAAGTTATAATGTATAAAAAGTGTCCTATTTTAGGTTCTGATAGGAGTGGTGAATACATTAATTTTCAATGTGTGTTGTTTTTATTTTTTGTGTGTATGGACACGATAACGGATAATTAATCGAAATGGTGTTTCACTTTTCAACTTCAGAATCTTGTCTGGTGGGAAAGTAAATCTAGTTAATGCATTTGAGAGTTCAAAATAGAATATTCCCAGTAACTTTCATGAGCGTTAGGAAAAAACAAAATAAAATTATGGAAAAATACAAGTTATTCAGCAAAATAAGTTTTTGACAAAATCAATATTGTTTTTTTTGATCTAACTATAAAAAAAATGTATAGATACCAAATAATAGTGTAACTAAATAAAAAATAAACAGATCCATGATTTTTCCACTGAATGTTTATATTAATATTCTCCGTACATCATGCAATTTTCAAAATATTTTGGACCTTTTTGAGCTATTTTGTGGCATAAGAAATTTTATATTTTTATTAGTCTTTTTTAATTATTGTTGATAAAAAAATGTTTGCTCATTTCAAAAAACATGAAAACTGAATACTAGGTTCCTCCTAGGGCTATTAGTTTAATTAAAAATAAAGTTGGGAGTAAATCCACGATTTTTTTTAATTGGGGTCTGAACTGAAAATTTTGAAAATTTGTATTAACAATTTACTTATTTTGTTGTAATTCAGAAACAAATAATCGTAGATTCTTAAATTTTAAAAATGTTCAGCAAATGTTTATTTTATCATTTTCAATATAATATGATATACTTGCCCACCTTTATTTTAATGATAATTGAAATTTTAAAAAAAAATAGTAAAAAGATTAAACCTGGTACTAATTAAATTTCTTATACATAACAACATTATGTATATTTTACTGAAATTTCATCGTTGAAAATTTTAAATTATACGGATATAACTCTCATTTATTTCATGTGATAATTTGTGGTTTCATTACTTCTTGATTATGTGGTTATTGCTTGCTTCCCACGCCAGCCATAATTAAATGGTAAAAGTTTCTATCTACAGTCAATAGAGATAGGACAACTAACATGAGATTGTTTATACATTTTTAAATATTAATTTAAATATAAAATAATATTATTATTTTTAAAAACTGTTCATATAATATTTATAATCCCTTTCCTACCCTCCTAATAAAAAAAGTAGTATAAAATACAATAAATATTATATTTATTGCCTACTAATCTAATTCTCTATCATGGAACTAACACTGATGTTTAATTTAAGGCATAGATTCCAAATTATTTATTCTGTTTTAGAATAAAAGCAATGATTCAAAATGTAATGTCTGAGTTTGTATGCAAATAATATATGATATGTTAAAACTTCAAATATATTAAGTCAGCAACAGACCAAATCAATATTGTTTTTTTTTTTTAAGACAACTGTATGATTTATATTATTCAATATACATACTATAATTTACCTGCAGAAGTTAAATTTAGTATAATATGGATTATGTTACAACAAATTGCACTATCAAGCATGATTTAAAACTAGTGTAATTTCATCTTTGATTTTATTTAATTTTTTTTTTTTAGATGTCTCTGTTTGTTATTGGCTTGATGACTATGTTTATCATTACTGTACCATACTTTTCCATACTATTGATTATTACATTAATAATGGGACTTGCCGATGGATGTTTTGTTAGTGTCATGGGTCCAATCGCTTTTGATTTAGTTGGTCAAAAAGGCGCTGCACAAGCCATCGGATGCATTCTTGGTCTATGTTCTATACCACTGACGGTGGGCCCACCTGTTGCTGGTAAATAACCTGTGAAATGTGGCATCATCTTATAAAAAATTAAACTAATTTAATTATTATATTCACAATTATTATACACTATTTCACTTGTCCATATTCAGGTTGGATGTACGATAAGTATAAATCTTATACTGGTGCATTTTTAATTGCTGGACTACCACCCATGATTTTCGGAATACTATTAACTACTACACGGTGTGTAAGGAAAAGGAATATGGAAATGGCATTAGAAGATAAGGATCCAAACGAACCGAAACTTCTTGACCCAATGCCCGAGTCCTATAGAAAAGAAGGTAAGAATTCAACTATTATTCCCACTGCTGCACATCCATTACTACTATCAAAAACTAATAATCGAAATTACACACGTTAGAGTTGTGATTTTTATATAGTTAATGTACCTATTGCACATTATTAATAATTAGTAAAAGTACTAGAACAAAAGTATGTAAGTAATTACTTAAATTTTATGATTTAAGTCAAACAATATTGTTGATTATTATTTATTACTATATGATATCTATATCACATATAATATATCACATGAATTAATATTAACTACTTAAAATAATACCTATTTAATAATAACCATAAGATTTAATTTACTTACTACTATTAATAAAATTACTACTTAGTTGAATAATAGCTATTTATTGTACATTTTTATATTACTTAGGACTTAATATTCTATATTATTATATTATTTAATATTATAATTATAATTGTTTCTTTAGACTTTAATATTATGCAGTCATAGTACCTACTCTATTTTTTAAGTTTTGTTTTTAATTTTATGTTTCAAATGTTTCGTTGTGATGTTATTAATAAAATTAAAATATATTATATTATATTACATGTTTAGAAATTAAATTAAAATATTTACATACACATATTCAAAGAATATATAAATAAAATAATCTATCAGGCAATATTATTTAATAATTTTTTAAATCAGAATACCAACCTCCATACATAACATTTGTCCAAATATGATTTGCCAAACTCTCTGTTTTTTTTATTAATTCAGCATTTTAGCATTCATTAGATAATTATGAAACATATATATGTAAAGAAAATAATTCTATAAATGTATAAGGAGAATCAAAACATACATTGACCCGGCTATGACCCTAAACAGATTCCGTGACCTGGCTATAATAAATATTAAAAGAGAATTATTTAATAAGATTATTGATAATAATATTTTATAAATATTTGCATCTAATTATATGCATATATAGCTATAAAATATATATTATAGGTACTTATTTTATTGTTTACATTTTATTTTAACGGCGTGCTTTTACTGTATGGTTTATTTTCAACTTTAATCAAACAAGACTTCCTGTGACAACTTAATTCAAGTATTCAAATAAAGCTCATGATGGGAAGTGTGAACGGGGCTTTACCCCCTACAGTTGGTTTTGAACTTTGGTTTTTTAGTACTCTAGCCCCTTTAACTATTAAACTCTAATTACGCTCATGATCATTGGATAATATAATTTATGAATCGCCTGAATGAAAAAATAATTTATTTAACTACCTATTTAAAATATTAAAAACTCTACTACTAAATATTTTTTATATTTAAATAAACCTATTGTGTGTTAAATTATTTATATTAAGTTAAGTATAATAATAATAACCACAGTAATACTATCTCAACCCATTAGCGCCGAAATTTTTTTATTTTTTTTTTTAAATTTTTTTATTGGTCAAATTCCCAAAGAGAAATTAGCTTCTAAAAATAGGTCTACCTATGTTGCCATATGGAAACGCACGGCGCTAATGGGTTAATACAATACCTAACCATTAAAAACGTTAAATTAAACAAAAAAATACATTATGTAAATTGCATTATTGTTAAAAAATCAGACAAAGGCAGTAAGAACTAAGAATGCTTGGTACTACAAGGAAGGCAAGAATAGTGCTTAGCTTCCTAATTTAAAATACAAGTTTCTTCAATATTTTAACAGTTTATAACATGATATGGTTTAATTTTTCTATGTGTGTACAGTGGCAAAACGAACCTAAAATAACCGATAATAGCAATCTAAAATTGACTCACCTCCCGGGGTAATTTTTTAATATTATTTCAATGTCATTTGTGTTAATGTAATTTTTAAAAAAAAAAACTATAAGATCTAATGATTTAAAAAAAAAAAAAAAAATCAAATGAACAATTTCAAGGATCTATGAATTTGTTGTACCAAACGGAATCATATTTTAATAATTCGTATTGTATATTATATCAACCTAGGTGCTAACACAGTAATAAATCTTTTTTTATTCTACTACTGTAACGATTGTTTACTAAAATGTACAGGAACTGGATTGATACTTCAAAAAAAAAAAATTATTACCCTTAAGACAATAAATGTTGTTTTGCTTCCTTATTTTTTCTCTACCCAAACAATTAATCAATAATATACACATTTTAACTATTTTTTTGATAAATGTATATGAATATGACATATGCATATAAGTACATGTCATATTTATTATGTACTCTATGATGATGAATAAGTGCACAATGTCGGAACCCTATTGTAGCAAGTAAGTTACACATGCTAAAAATATGAATTATGGGCCTCGTGAATGAAACGCTATTGATTGACCTTAATATTTTCCATCACAAAAATTGTCTCAATTACTTGAACAACTGATTTAAAGCATATTAACTACAAATAACATGGAAATTTCATAAGACATATATCATTATAATACCTGTATAATATTTTATATCATCCATAATGTCAATAATTATCATTATCATCGCTTGTATGGTTATATAATAGTTTTAGTTGAAACATAAATTAATTGCATGATGAAAAAATTTGATAGAAACTTATAATGAATGCCTGACCAATAGATGAGTTATGAGTAGATTATAATTAGGACAAGCAGCATGGCACAAAGTAATTGCAGTAATTATTGTGATAATTAAAAACATAATACATACTTGTATTGGTTAAATACAATACTGAAATCATTGTTTAATTCCTAAATATGTTCCCATTCTAGGAAGTTTTGTTTTTTTTTTTTTATCTAGGTATATTAATGATTGTTTTTTTAAATTTTTTATTTGTTTAGTTTATTCGTTCATAGGAGCATATTTATGTCTTAAAACGTAACTTGTATATTATACTGCTTACATGTAGATGTGACGCACAGACCGGGCCACCGTATACCCAACGACTTCTCTCTAATATTACATAACTACAATTAATTTCATATAATAACTGATTTCATATTATTTACTTGTGGAATGGTGGTAAATTAATATTGTACAACACAATAAAGGTTAACGTAGAAGCTTAACTCTATTATAAGTTTTACTTATTTATATTAATTTTAATAAAATATATTTGTACTGTGTCAATGAACTCAATCAATTTCTTATCTACATTTTATTGTTTATTATTGTGAAATATACATATGAGTTTTGCATAATGTTAATAGGTTAAAAATATTAAATATGATTAACAGGTACCTTAGGTACATCATTCGATTTATCATTCACTCACTTATATAAAATTTACCACACATCATCGTTGATGATTAAAATTATATTTTATACTCTTTATAGACCATCACTAAGTACATGAAAGATTTAAAATGCTACTTAATATATATATATAAGGGATTGTCCTATTACTCATATTATTATATATAGGACTATAAATATTTTACACTTTTCTGAAATAAAAAAAGTATATACCTTGTTATGTATACTACCATAAAGTCAAATTTGTATTATATTTAAAATTTTGCATCCAAGTAGTCTTTTTAATTGAACCAAGTTCATTTATATCATTTTTGTCACTAAAATTCATCATTTTTGCTTTGTCTGTGTTGGTATTATTATGCAAATCGTTTAATTTTGTATAATAAGTCATTATTAATTTCAATGCACATAATTTATATGTATTCAAAGTATGATATATTTCAGAGTTACATAATGTTAAGATTCTATAACACGCACATTTTAATAACTTTATTGGGTGTTAGTAAAATAATATGCGTAATGCGTGCACTAACATTATAGATAGTACTATCTATCTTTTTAAAATATTTAATGTTAAATATAATATTATAGTGTTTAATTCAAAAATTAAATTAAATTTTGTTGAATGTAATCGTTTATAATAATAATATTAATCTATTGATTATTACTTCTATTGATTTTTAAAATTTTTGTAACTCTGTCATAAATTAAGAACTATTATTCTTTTAAATTATATACATGCATAATATAATTATAAATTTTATTTTTTTTTTTTTTTAGACCCGGAAGAAGTTTGTTGATCACACATTATTTTGCAGACAATTACATACCATATAATGCCGCAACCATCTCTTTTTTGTCCGCAAATATCTTTGAACACAAAGTATTTACAAAACAAAACAAATCAAATTGACTTAATTTATTTTTTAAATTGGTGAAACTCCATAGCTAATAAATACTACCTACTTAACTTATTGTATATAATATGATCATAATATTGTGTATCACTTCTTACAATAATAATTACCAATAATTATAGTATTAAAATACTGTAGCATTATCATTTTTTATAAACATAAAAATTTAAAGTTAACATGTCATATAATTATATTCTTGTAAATAATTTAGAAGTACATTTTTATACTGTACATTTTTTTTTTTTTTTTTGTATCACATAATAAAAAAACAACTGACTAATAATTTAATTTTGTATGTATCTATTGTTTATTTTCTATAACTGTTTGTAATTTTAAAACCAAATTGAAATTGAATACGACAAATTGAAAAACACAATAAACTTTTATAATACAAATTGTACCAAAATATATTTTATTTTAACTGTATTTGAAAAAAAAAACAGGTGAGCAAAAACAATAATTGACAATAATATAAAACATTATGTTACCTACATAAATATATTTTATATTAATACCTTTCGACTTCAGCGAATTCTCTCAAATTGTCATCAATATATTCTGAAATCAACGAAACTCGTGCTTTATGAACATCCTTACTTAACTCACCATCTGCCCATACAGAAAACAATTTTTCTTCCTTATATTCCAAATAAGAACTACACGACATGTCTTACTCTATGATAAAAATAATATTTGCAGAATACCTCAAGGCAAATTTTGGTGATTACATTACGGTATATCCCGACGGATCAGTTTCTCCCCTCTCGGCAGGCTATTAATTTTAAATCCCTGAATTGTACATCTCTTTCCCAAACAATTGTGTTATCCCCTTCTTCTTCCTTCACCGCAGAGTGTTGTGCCATCTTAGAAGCTCTAACACTTATCTCAAACCTTGCTCTGAACAATTACCTAATAGCCTCCGACTACATGTCTTGCTTACTTGCTCTCAATCTATAAAGTTATTTCAAATATTTGCGTATTAAAGTAACTCAAAGTTGATTTTTTTTTCATTTGGAGTGTAATAACATAAAGAAGTATTTTGTGGAATCAGATCTAACTTATATTTCATTGGCTCAGAAGAAATAGGTTAAAATGATAAACTATAAAAAAAATCAAAATGTACAGATATAACCTACGCACAGGACACGGCTCAATCAGAGACGGCACTGTTTACGGGCCCCGGGCAATATTTTTGGTGGAGCCCTTGATGATTATGGAACTAGATGGTACTTTTAGACACTTTTCAGATACCAATTACCAGTAGTGATATATTTTATTATTCCTAATTGATGAGGATAGATACAATATTTATTAGATATTAATATATCATCAAAATAAAAACATACTTATGAAGCTTATAGCAAAATAAATCATACAAAACTAAAAAAGTTGGCTACATAAAAAAAAATATAATTAAATATTCATGTGTCAATGTAAATTAATTTATAATAAAATAAATATAATTAAAAGGTACTCGTATTTTGGGAGCGATACTTGTTTAGAAACCTATAGATTTTTTAAATTATTTTTGATTCTGAGTGAAACGATGAATGTATTGATTTTACAATGATGTGTGTTTTTTTTTTTATTTTTTTTTTGTGTCTGTCATCACGTTTTAGGACAGTAAAAGTGCTTGGATTTCCTTCATCAGTAGCTTTTCTGATAGGAAAGTGAATCTAGTTGGTACTTTGGGGGGTCAAAAGTAAACATTTCTCAGTAGTTTTCACAAGCGCCGGGAAAAACAACATAAAAATGAAGAAAAAACGGGAATTTTTACGCAAAATTGGTTTTCCAAAAAATCGATTTTGGTTATTGGTGTAACTCTAAAACAAATGAACGTATATACATGAAATTTTCACTGGTTGTTTATATTTGCATTTTCTATACACGATAACATTTTCAAAATATTTTGATTTATTTTGAACTGTTTAGGGACATTTTCATTTTCCATTTTTTTTAGTTTTTTTTCTAAAAATATCAATAAAATTTTATTTGTTGGTTGCGAAAGCTTGAAAATTTAATAGAAGGCTCCTAATATATTGTTTCAAAGGCAGATGAAAAATATTAAAAATCCTTGGTCACAATTTTTTTTTATAAGCATTTAAAGTTCAAAAATTGACAAAATATGGAAAAATCACGAAAATTAGCAAATTATTTTGAGTTAAGAATTCGTAAAAAATTTTCTTTTTAAATCTAAGATTTGAAAATGAAACTCAAGATTCCTTATAAGATTATCTACCTTTATCAATAAAAAAATCTCTACCGGACCTTCAAATTAAATTTTTATGAGCGTTTGAAATTCAAATTTTTACAACATTGGATATTCACTCGATTACTCATGTAGCGATTTCTTTATTTTGTTGCAATTCAAAAACGAACAACTGTAGATACATGAAAATTTCACTGAATGTTTAAATTAGCATTTTCTATACACCATACAATTTTGAAAATATGTTGACTCTTTTTGAGCTGTTTATGGACATTTACAGATTTCAATTTTTTTTAGTTTTTTTTTCTATAAATATCAATTAAGTTTTATCTGTTGGGCCAAAATGTGTAAAAATTTAATACAAGGCTAGTGATATATTGTTACAATATCAGTTGAAAAATATTAAAAATACATAGGCACGATTTTTTTTTATAAGCATTTAAAGTTGGAATTTTGACAAAATTTATCAAAATCTCGAAAATTATCAATCGTTGGAATTAAAAAATTATAAAATGTTCAGTTTTTATAACTAAGAGTTGAAAATTTAAAACAAAGATTCTCTTAAATAATTCATACTGTAACCTAAAAATCTAAAAAATATATAAACACACTTATTTTTTACAGACATTTTAATTTCAAATTTAGACAAAATTTCATAATTAAAACCAAGAATTACGATTTTAGTTATTTTGTTGTGATTGAATAATATTATTCGTGGGTACTTGAAACTTCTAAAGTGTACTATTATATATTATCTATTGCGTTATAAGTATTTAATGGATATTGTGATATGATTAATTTGGAATTAATTATAGGTACCTACCTATTATAGGTCAATTTTTTGTTTAATACCATAGATATGTATATAATATGTCTTATACATAGACTGACATACCGTCACCGCTCAGAATCGTTTTTCTTATACATCGTCGCCACCCGAGATTAGAAATTGCCTAAATGATTCTCCTTAAATCAATGCCATTGCGAGGCCCCTTAATAGACAGAACACACACCAGTGACGGCGGGATATAGGATTATTGGAAGCAATTGCTTCATGTTTGAAATGGTTGGGTGGGTGTATAAATATATATATAATTGTAAGACCTCAACAAAAATATCATGGCAAATATTATAATTAATAATTATTAATGGCGCCTGCTGCTAATTTTGGTTCAATGAAGGGTACGGACGTACGGTGGTAAAAATATTTAAAATATACAATACGCTTCACAGCCTCCGCAATTTTGTGCCGCTACTGACACCACATAATTGAAGTATTATATATTTTATTTTACCTGAAAATGAGAAATTCAGAATTATTTCACTATAATAACGCAGGTATAATATAATTATATTTTACTACGGATCTCGATGTATTGATAATTATCCAAAGGTTGCATGTAAAAGAAGCCGCAGGTTCCCGACTATTTTTTTTTTATCATATTTATTAGTGTGTGTGGCTTCAGTATTGAGATGTGTAAATCACAAAAAAATGTTTATTGTTCAACTCAAACATACGATTCTAATTCCGACAGTCGCAACGATTACATCGATTTCATTCTGACAAATATTCTTATTTCCCACAACACGTACGAGGGATTTCGAGCTCTGATACGGTCGTGTGATGGATCGATCTAAGGCACGTTTAAAATGGTATTTAGTTAATTAAATATTGAAGTTGGAATTCTGTATTTAGATTCTGAGTGAACGATGAAATGTATTGATTTTTACATGATGTGTTGTTTTTTTTTATTTTTTTTTAAATTTTATTATTTTTTTTGTGTCTGTGTACACGATAAGTAGTCGAAATAATGCTTCGATTTTCAACTTCAGTATCTTGTTCGATTGGAAAGTGAATATCGTTGGTGCATTGGGGAGGTCAAAATTTAAATTTCCCAGTAGTTTTCAAAAGCGCCGGGAAAAACAAAATAAAAATTAAGGAAAAACGGGAATTTTTACGCAAAATCGGTTTTTCAGTGGTTGTTTATATTTGCATTTACTATACACGATAACATTTTCAAAATATTTTGATTTATATTGAACTGTTTAGGGACATTTTCAGTTTCCAATTTTATTAGTTTTTTTTTTTATGAATATCAATAAAAATTTATTTGTTGAGTAAAAATACTTGAAAATTTAATACAAGGCTCCTACTATATTGTTTCAAAGACAGATGAAAAATATTAAAAATCGTTAGTCACAGTTTTTTTTTTTAAGCATTTAAAATTCAAAAAATGACAAAATATGGAAAAATCACGAAAATTTGCAAATTATTTCGAGTTAGAAATTCATAAAAATTTTTCTTTTTAAATCTAAGATATGAAAATGTAATACAAGATTCCTTATGAGATTTCCTACATTTATCAAAAAAAAAATTCTATAAGAAAGTCAAATTAAATTTTTATGAGCATTTGAAATTCAAATTTTTACAACATTGGATATTCACTCGATTTCTCATGTGGCGATTTCCTTATTTTGTTGTAATTCAAAAACGAATTACTGTAGATACATGAAAATTTCACTGAATGTTTATATTAGCATTTCCTATACACCATACAATTTTGAAAATATTTTGACTCTTTTTGAGCCGTTTACGGACATTTTCAGTTTTCAATTTTTTTAGTTTTTTTTTTTCTATAAATATCAACAAAGTTTTATCTATTGGGCCAAAGAGTGTAAAAATTCAATACATGGCTCCTGATATATTGTTACAATATCAGTTGAAAAAGATTAAAAATACATAGGCACAGTTTTTTTTTATAAGCATTTAAAGATCGCATTTTGACAAAATTTATCAAAATCTCGAAAATTATCAATCATCGTAATTAAAAAATTAGAAAATGTTCAGTTTTTATAGCTAAGGATTGAAATTTTAAAAAAAAGATTCTCATAAATAGTTCATACTGTAGCCAAAAAATCTAAAAAATATATGAGCACAGTTATTTTTTACAGACATTTTAAGTTCAAATTTGGGACGAAATTACATAATCAAAAACCTAGCATACCCATTTTAGTTATTTTGTTGTGAGTGTATAATACTATTCGTGGGTACTTGAAACTTCTAAAGTACACTATATTATATATCTATGATAGTATCAGGGTTTGTTATTGATGTATAACGTGTTATAATAGTACCTAATGGATATTATGATATGATTAATTTGGAATTTATTATAGGTCAATTTTTTTTAATACCATAGATATGTATATAATATGTCTTAAACGTAGACTTACATACCGTCTTCGCTCAGAATCGTTTTTCTTATACAATGATATTGTATCATTGGATTCAAATTTAATACCATCCATTATACAGTGACCCACTTGTAACCTACTGTACAGCAGAGCGACATCCACTTACCCGCCTTTTTTTAATTTTTTTACAATTTTTATTGCAATTTAAATTACAAAAATTAAAAATGTGGCTCCATCGTTCCCTTGTATATATTACGGGCAATCAGAATATCTTTTCAGAATGAAAATCGAGATAATTGTCGACACGTATACCTATATTAGAAACAGTCGTTTTTGACAAAAAAAAGACTTGGTAGTGAGGCCCCTTAACAGAAATTATGAATATTCTTAAATTAATACAACTGATATTTTTCAGATGTTCTTATAAATAAATTTTTTCCTCTGCGAGTATCCAAATACTTACCAAAATCTTTGCAGGTCTCTTCAAATTCAAAATGATAGAATTTCATATCATGCTCCGCGGTGGTTGTTCCATCTCCGAAGTTTGATTGGCCGAATTTTCCCGGTTTTAAAATCTGTTATCATCTGATTAAGCGTGAACGAAGTGTTAGCGCAGACTGTACACAATTATATTTTAGTTGTGACTGTTTACTGTAATAATTATTGAAATTACTCGAAATATACTCCTGTTGTAGACCCTTGTATTATTTAATATTTATAGCAGTAGAATTTTATCTACCTAATCCAGATCACAGACTCAGCACATGCCACATTTCCGGTTCTTTCAATCGTTTAACCCTTATTGTGACACATGACAGTGTCTATTACGGAATTATCAACATACTGTAAGTACTGACAACTATTTGTAATTCGTATTGCCTTTATAGTTTATACGTTGTAATAATATTATGAACGTTTTTTTGAACACTAAGATTTAAGTGTAACATTTAAATTAGGTACGTCTCAAACGCCCATTTTGAAGGGTGCTTACTTGATTTGAGTAAAGAAAAAAAAATGATGAGTTCATTTCACATTTTTTCTGTATTTAGACGCATTTGTGGAAAGTTCTAACTCAAATGAGGCGATCGGAGAAGCTCAATTTCTTGTAAAATTTCTAACAATAAATGAGACAATACATTTTTAGAATCAAAAGCTTAGGTAAGATGAAACTATATACAATCGACCAGTTTTTATGCAAGGTTTTTATGCAAACTCTTTATGGCAAGTTGAAGTTGAATTACCGCCATAATCTTCAAGTCCAATATAGACACATTTGATGAATTTACTTTTAAGCTTTTCTGGAGACTGATTTCATCAAACAACAAAACACCATGCTTTTCTCTAGAAGACATGTGTTGTACTTTTTTAGCCAAAAGTAACAAAAATTCTTCATCAAAACCACAAGTTGTTTTTGTACTCGAGAGCAACTGACGTACTGTTTTTGGGTGAAGGAGAGGTCATAATTGACTGTCACTTAAATATTTGTAGGCTCCAGGTTAAATTATATTAAATAATAAGCAAAGCATTAACCAGTTTTTGCTGTACCTACTATTTTTTGGATTTACAATTTTACTAGCTTTAAAGCACTCTTTTATTAATGTTTTTTGAGAATCATTAATTCCATTTACATTACATAATTTTTCTTCAATATTTTGTTCACAATATTTTGCCATTCTAGCTTTAACATTGTCTAATTCTGAACTAAATTTTGATATTTTTTCTTTAGTGCTTACCATTTTTCTTTTTAGTCCTTTATTTTGATTTCTGATTTTATTTATTTTCTGTTGTTTAGAAGAAAATAAAAGTAATTGATCTTGACCGTCATTCTATTTTCTTTTTTCACGCATTCTTAAAATATTTCCAAGTTTTAGGCATCTTATTCAACTTGTATTATTTTTGTTTAAAATGAGATTGCAGTTCAAATGTTGAAGTCTTCTAAGAGTATTAATTACACATAATGAAGTAGGAGCTTTAGGGAAATTGTTCACTGAAATACAAATGTTTAAATTTTTTTATCATTTAGACAATTTATTGATTTAAATCTGTTTTTACAGGTTAACAAAATGTGGATAACAATGAAAACATATTACATACAAGAAGAAGAAGATATTGATGAAATATTATTGATTAAAATGAATGAATTTAACAACGTTTTTGAGTTGAATAAGAAAAATATTCTGAAATCAAACAAGAAAACCATACCTGGTATGGATTTAATTTTGCTCAATGCAAACCTAACTTCATTACAAATTAAAAAATCAAACGCTTCAAAATCTCTATTAAGAAAAAACAGTAAAATGTATTATGTAAGTTGTATAAACATCAAAAACAAAAAGGGTGAATGTTTCAGTTCGTTAATAGATAATTTATCTGAAAATGATAGAATAGTTATAATTAACGGAGTTGTACTCAAACAGTTTACTATTTGCAATTCTAACAAATTAACTGTTTTAGTTCGATCGCAAGACAATTCTTCAATTACCTTATTTAAATTTAGAAATCATGGAATCATCAAAATGTTAGAAAAACCAAGTTCAGCATCTAGAAATAATCTTTCCTCATTAACTGGTTCTGGTGTTTATTCGATATATGGATTTGTAAAAAAAATCACAAGATATTATGATGAAGAGTTAATATCATTAAGATTGCAAAGTTATGATAAAACAAGCATAAAAACTCTCAAATATTTTCATTTTAATAGTGGATATCAAAATATTATAAATAATAAAACAGCATCTGGTTTGAAATATGGTTTTCTTTCAAACAAAGTTGATATTTTAGTTGAAACCCCAAGTAAAGATTTTACGTCGTTGTCACTTAATCAACAAATATGTTTAAACAATGTAACAGTGGAAAATATAAACGATTCAGACATATTTTTACTGCATATGAACGGATATGCTAATAATGTAAAAGTTGTTCCAATGAAATGTGTTAAAACTATTAGACCTACCTATTTAATACCTGATGATTTAAGACCGGAAATTCAGCCTAAATTCGAAAAATTATCTGATGATGTCCAATTGGTTTTAAAGGATAATTTTCGGGAGTTTAATGCAAATATAACTGCATTAAATAAACCTTTAATTATTCAACAAAGTCAATATAAAAAAATAAAATGCATGAATTTATCTGATGATGATGATGACATTGTTAATTTATCACCGTGTCGAGACTTTTCGTCATCTACACAGATTATTAAAAAGGACAATGATGTTCATAACAATGCAAGTAAATTCGGCAAAAATAAAGTTAATGCTATTGATGAAAATTCATTACCTATCAAACATTTAAGATCAGATGACCAAGTCCAAAAATATAATGACAACTCATCACTTCCTCCATCAAATAAAGATACCTCTTTGCCTAAAAGTAAAATATGTTCTCAAAGAGATATTTTACCAAACTCATCTTCTGATGGATCATGTTCACCTAGTTTCTTTATGAGTCAACCAGAATCATTAATATTGAACCGAGATGACAAGGTCCAAAAATATGATAACAAGTCATCACTTATTCCATCAAAAAAAGATGCCTCTTTGCATAAACGTAAAATATGTTCTCAAAGAGATATTTCACCAAACTCATCTTCTGATGGATCATGTTCACCTAGTTTCTTTATGAGTCAACCAGAATCATTAATATTGAACCGAGATGACAAGGTCCAAATATATAATAACAAGTCATCACTTACTCCATCAAATAAAGATGCTTCTTTGCATAAACGTAAAATATGTTCTCAAAGAGATATTTCACCAAGCTCATCTTCTTATGGATCATGTTCATCTAGTTTCTTTATGAGTCAACCAGAATCATTAATATTGAACCGAGATGACAAGGTCCAAATATATAATAACAAGTCATCACTTACTCCATCAAATAAAGATGCTTCTTTGCATAAACGTAAAATATGTTCTCAAAGAGATATTTCACCAAGCTCATCTTCTGATAGCTCATGTTCATCTAATTTCATGAACAGTCAACCAGAATCATTAATATTAAACCATAATAGTTTTAAATCTAATATTTTAAGCCAACCTACCCAGTGTATAGGTCCTTGTAGACTTATTCATACTGTACCAAACATATTTGATAGTAGTGAAATTGTAAGTGGATTCTGCACTACATGCAACGCATTTGTTCAAAAACGTTACCTCAAATTGACACCTCAATCTTCAAATATGGTGTACAAGTGTCCTAAATGTTCTACCATTGTACACCTTACATTTTTTTTCATTATGAATTTTATTTACGGAAAAAATGAATCGCAAGCTATAGAAGTATGCTGTTACGATAAAAAGGCTGAAAGTGTTGTCAGGAAAATTTCGAAGAAGAAAATAACACTTGATGATTATTTATCAAACCAAAATAATGAACAACTAGTTATAAGTTCCATGAAATCACTTATAAATAATAGAACAAAAGTAAACATAATTGTTTGTCTTTCACCAGAGGATAACAAAAACATTCTTCTTGGAATAGATACAAAATATGTTGTTACAACACAATAAACAAATTAATTAATATTGTAAGTTTTAACTTGTTTATTTTATATTATTGTAATTTGTAAGTTATATGATTGTTAACTGTGTTTATTGAATTATATTAATTTGTTTTTCCTGTAATTCTTGTAAAGTTGTAAATTCATAAATTATTTTGGTATGGATAGTATAAACCAAAAATAAAATTCCAAATTTTCCATAATATAGTAAAATAAGTTTGTTTTGTTAGTTAAAACAATAATTACATATAGCACTCCCAATCATGTAGAAAATTATATATTTTCAGAAGTACTAATTGTACTGACGAGTCAGTACTCAATAGGTAGCAGGTGTTCCTCATAAAATCGAGTACTTTTTGAAAATTAAACCCTGCTAGTCCCTACATCTCAACTTCACTTATAAGGTACAGCTTACAGGATCTTAAAAAATTGAAGACATATGTTTTAAACTTTTTGTTCATGTGTAAAACAGTGTAAAATCCAAGTGAATATTATTTGTTTTAAACAAAAAATAGTGTTTTTCAAAAATTATAAAATACAATAACTTGTCGGCTATAACCATTCCTAAATGCACCATATCAAGACATAAGCATTAAGCACACTAATATTTAAGTATATATGCAGTAATTTACCTGATAAATGCATTAGGTATATTATACTATTTAGGTGATAAAAAAAGTGACCAAGTATAAACAGATAAAAAAAACTATTTAGTAACTGATGTTAAAATAAATAATAATTATATAATTTACCATTTTTAATTTTGACAACCTTCATATTTTTAAATTAGATTAAAATTACTGCAGACTGAAGAATTTATTATCTATGAGTGCAACAATTTAATTGTCGATGTTACATACGACATACCTAATAATTGATATTACTATAATCATCACAAACAATTTATGTTTTTGTAAAAAACGACAAATAAAAAAAAAACCTTTTGTAAAAAAAGAAAACTGATTTTTTAATTGTTTGTGTTTTTGAACAGTGGATGCTAAATTAAATTCTGAGCTTGCTGATGTACTCTCTAGTTGCGCCATGCGTCTGCTCCATATTTTTTTTTTTAATTGTCAAATAAAAATGTAATTATACAATTTACACGAAACATGGGCACATGGAAGTAAACTTTAGTGAATAAGAACCACAAAGCACAAGTGTGGAGATGACAGACACATTCAAGTATAGGAGTGTATAGGAGGTTAAGAAGTTAGATGGACTGCTATGACGCTTCTATGTTAAAATTCATAAGGTGTACAGTACATTTTTACAGTGCTTTGAAAGTTCCTTTATAAAAGGAATTATTTATTTATTTATTTATTATAATAGTAAACAGGACAAGCCCTTGACATTTATATAACATTAATAATTAATAATAATAATACACTATTACATACATAATATTTAACTGATAATAATAAAATACAAAATAATTAGACACAAGAAGTTGTTTAGATGTAATTTGATTCATTAGCTAATAATATGTAGGTTCCTATTTGTATTTTGTGGTCTTGTATAATTTGCATTACCTATGTGTAAAATTAAATTAAATCGAATAACTTACAAATTACAATTGTTAATGATTACCTTATTAAGTATAAATATTTAATAAAATAAATTTATATTATACATATTATAAACTGTTTGGCTTTGTACCATTTAGTAAAAGGTCTGCAGGTTAGATAGTCATTATACCTATAGTATATACTGGACCAGTGGCGTCCGAAGGGGGGGGGGGGGCTAACGGGCTAAAGCCCCCCCCCATTGCCCGTATTATTATTACTTTTAAAAAAAAATATGAATCAAGTTTAAACTGTCAACTATAGTAAGCAAGACGTAACTTTCATATATGTCTTACACTCTTACCAGAATGAATTCACTTTTGAAAAAACATTGTATTTGCATACCAATTTTCATAAATTATCTGTAATTTTTCGGTAAAAGAATGAACTACTTGTATGAAAGACCTTGTATTAAATTGTCTAGCCTTAGCTATACATATTTTATATTTTATAAGTTTTGAACTACAAATTAACTGTACCTAGTTAAATTGTTTTGAACTTTAAATGCATATTATGTAAAAAAAAACTTGCGTATTACATTTTTAAGCTTTTCGACAGGATAAATAATTTTTTATTGACATTTATAAAAAAAAAATTTAATTAGTCAAATACAATCCAAGTGAGGACTATATAACCAAGCAGGGGCGTATATAGGATTTTCTTTAGGAGGTGGATATCAACATTTGTTTTGTGCTATTGCAACTTTTTGTTAGTTACCTACTCCATGTAAGCCGTAAGGTATATAATAATAATAAATGTTGTGTAATGTCACTCACATGCTCACAGGATAACAAAATTATAAATAACAACAGTACTGCAGCAGTTTGTACTCTATCCCCCATATCCCCCCCATAAATACGTCACTGTAACCAATCTATTGTTACCAAACAATTTAAATAAGTTTTCATTTTTTTTCTCCAATTAGGTACTTTTAAAAGCACTGAGCAGATTCAATTTCGACCTCCTAAAAGTACCAACTAGATAAAATTTGCTTCCAAAAACATACACTGGGCATCGAAGCTTATGATAAGAGCATTTTTTCTACCAGAAAAGTTGAAAAGTTACAAACATTTTAAAATACCTCAAATAAACGTCTGAAATTTTTAGACTGGACAAAATAAAAATAAATTTGTAACTAATTTTCAAGCCCCCCCCCCCATTGAAAAATCCTGCGGACGCCACTGTACTGAACTATATATATTGTCATGTAAAATAATATGATAATTTTATTAAATTATAATATATTTTGAAACATATTGGTGCCTTCTTGGGAATTTATCTTAATTGTAGGCTTTAGAGTATACACTTATTTGTTTATTGTAATGACTAATTTTTTTTTTTTTTTATTATTATTTGTTCATTGAAACGACCTCTAGGTCTTCGTCAATGCTCATCACAAGTGGATAGTAGGGAGATCATGTGATCTATTTATCTATGTATATATCACTATATGCATGATACTACCACCCTTCTCCTGCAAGAGGAGGCATGTGCGGTCTTCACTCCCAGTGGAGTGGGACCTAGTTGGAAACCAGATGACGCAATCGGACGACAGCAGGGGGAAATGGTGATCGCGTAGAACCACACAAATTTATTTTGCACTGAGCTATGAATCGAACCGATGACTGTGTGAGTCGTAGTCAACTGCTTGACCACTGCGGCAAAATTGTAATGACTAATGAGAAAAGTAAAAAACTAAGAAGTAGATTGTACCTAATTTGTAAATAGAAATAGGTAGGTAATTGAAAAATTGGGCGTCGACCACAGAATATAATTTCATATGAAGTGATAATTGTGATAATGCAAATACCTTCCTATGCGATAAATTGTTATGAATTTAAAACTACAAAATAATTTTCAAATGTTAGTGATTTTGATAAATTTCATAACAATTCTATCTTTAAACGCTTATTCAAAAATATTGTGGATAAGTATTTTTGATGTTTATTGATAATTGGTAAAAGAACAATTCATAAAAAAACTTGTATTACGTTTTCAATATTTTTATTCTGCAAAATGTTTTTTTTATAAACATTTATAGAAAAAAATTAAAATAAATAGCTTAATTACAGTGGCGTTACTTCAAAATTTGGGCCGGGATACAAAAATAATATCAGGCCCCTCCCATGGTATCAAGATACAAGTAGTGTAGCGTGGGGTTTTGGGTGTTTACCCCTCCCCTTCCCTCCCCATTGACATTCACCCCTAATAATGTGTTTTTTATATACAAAAACTGTAAAAACTTGGTTAATTTATACTTAACCCTCCTCCAGTGTCCACCATTTCATGATCCTGGGTACGCCACTGTCAAAATACTAATATCACTACCCAGTACCCATCACTCACATTATTATTTTGATGTTAACCTATTATTTTTCAATGAATAATAGTTACAAAATGTATGTAATAACTACAAAGTCCGAATGTAAAATAAATCATTTATTATAATATAAAGTTAAATGAGGTACCTAAATATTACGATTTACGATTTATGAATAATAAGTAATATACCTACGTATATATTATTATTATACAATATTATATCATATATACAGTATAGGTATACCTTAAATTAAAACATTCTTTTTGATTTTGTATTTGCTAAGGTCAATATAATATTATAATATTTTACGTATCAATTTATTTTGTTACGCAATTTTCAATTGAAAGTAAAGCTTAACTAAAAAAAAAGAGTTTAGAAAATTATGCTTCGTAGATAAGTTTGTTTTAGATTCTTTTAATCTTGAAAAAGCTTCACTCTGCAGTATACCTTAAATAGTTAAATGTGGCGTGGCGAACTAAAAATTTTCCAGAGCCAAGTTACAAATATCCAAAGTATTAATGCATAATAATGTATTAATATAATATAACTAAGTATATTTCAGATCGTTATTGACTACCTATTGAGAATATCATATAACATTTACCAGAGGACCCACTGGCTATACCACCCACCCCTGTATTTAAGAAAAATCTCAGAGGCCATGGCCTCTGAAATTACTATCTGCCACGCCTATTGCTACAGGCAATAATAAAAAAAAAGCAAGCTGTATACACATCAGGAAAATTTGACGCTACTGCCTACTATATAGGTAAGTACCTAATTCTCAACGCTGGTAGTAAGTTTTTGAATAGCATAGAAAAACAAAATAGATTTTGCAAAAACTGGTTTTGCGTAAAAATTAATGTTTTTTAATTTTGACCTCTACGGTTCTACTATAGTACCAACTAGATCCAGTTTTCTACCAGCATCCACCCATAAAATGAAATACTATCTCGTCTTTGCGAATAACTGGAAGTCTGGAACTATGTAGTTAAGGTAGATATGTTTTTCAAGATAGTTATCAGAATCTATAGAATAATAATCCATTGTTTCCAAACTTACGAGAAAAACGTTTTGAGTGACAGTTATTTAGAAATATTCTTGGGACTAAGGTGATTAGTAGGT